TCATTCCAGGGATGCAGGGTTGGTTCAACATACATAAATCAATAAACGTAATTCATCATATTAATAGACTTAAAAACAAGAATCATAAGATCATCTCAATAGATGCAGAAAAAGCAACTGACATAAAGTAGCACACCTTCCTGTTCAAAACACTAGAAAAACTAGGGATATTAGGAGCATACCTCAACATTGATTCTCTCCTCTTAAATACCCACCCCTTCATAATGACTTAATTTGGGACAATTGCAGTCCCCAAGTCAGATCAGCAAAGCCTGCCAAGCTCTTTATCCATTCTGCCCTCTACATCCAGGGGTCACCAGTCTCTGCGCGTCTATCCATCTCAGCCTCTCTTCCTTTCAGTCTTGTATTCCTAACCTGCTGTGTTGGTCAGGGTTCTGCAGACAAAAAGAACCAAGAACATATGGCTATCACACATAAAAGGAGACCTAGCTAAAGGAACTGGCCATGAGGTTGTGAAGACTGATTGGTCCAAAGTTCATAGGGTTGCCAGCAGGCCAGGAAACAAGGAAAGACAGGGTGGCAGTTCCAGTCTGATGAACAACTGGAGAATTTCCTCTTGCTCAAGAGGAGGCCAGCCTTCACTCTTTGACTGGATGAGGCCCATCCACATTGGGGAGGGCAATCTGCTTCACTCGAAGAAGCACTCAGAATGAGTCTGACCACAGCTGTTAGCATCATCACTCAGGTAAGTTGATCCACAAATTAATCATTGCACCACTCAGTGCTGCTGCTTCCAGTGCCCACATAAACACCACAACACGCTCCCCCAGGCTTCTCCAGTTCCTTCTGAATCATCAACAGTGCCACTCATCACCCAGCCTCCCTTCTGCTGCCGCTTGCTGGTTGACTGCAGGCCCTTCTGCAGTGGGTGCCCTCCTGCTGCACACGCGTACTGTGAGCTCCCAGGGCCAAATTCCCAGAGCTGAGTTATGGGATCATTCAGTCCATTTGCACTTTGTTTTGCCCTCACGTCTTTCAAGGTGAATACCAGGAAGGAAATGTTCTCAAAGTTGATACTTCCAGTCAAGAAATTTCTCTGTCAGTATCTTACTACTTCAGTTCCATTATTCCAGTAAGTTATCTGCTTAAGAGGTGGGAGATCATAGACATAAATAAAATTAATCAAATAAAAATGTCTTAAATATAACTATCTATAGAAGTGAAACTATTTTTAATGTGCCCAGTGTTCATATGCAAATTCATTAACTCTGATTCAAAAGTGGCAAACAGTTATCATAATATCCTCATCAAAACAAGAAAATTTAACTTTTATTGAAAATCCACTCTGTACCAGATGAAGTGCCGAGCCCTTTAATAAGAATTCTCTGTAACTGACAAGACCTGGCTGTGGACACAGTGGGCTGATTACAGATCAGCAACAGTTCCTACATCAGGAGGCAGAGGCCTTAACCTCACATTTACTTGGCACTCACTACAAGGCACACTATAAAAACAGGGTTTCTGCAGATGACAAATAAAATCCCTGATAAGTACCATCTGTTCAAAGGAATATGACTGGTAAATTTGGGCCCAGGTTCAAATTCCAGAGTCCCTGGCTTAGGATTCTCTCAGAACTGCTGCTGCTGCCCAAGAGGCAGTGACAGGAGTCAGGTTCAGCCAAACAATTGAAAAGGTTTGTCCTCTGACTGGGACACCAGGTCTGGTGAGTAGATACCAGGCACATCTACCTTCCAGGCACAGCCCTCAACCTTGGAACACATTCTGATTTGTTTCATACTCTCTCTCTCCCCTGTCTCTATCTGTAAGTGCCACGTTTGCCAGCAGGGTTATCTGGGAAGTGTGGTTCTGGGCTTCTCCCTTCCCCCAGGACCAATGGACACCCCCTGTTGCTCTCTCCCAGGGGCCAGACCACTTCTGGTGCCCTCTGGTGCTAAAAACAGGTTTCAGTAAGGCAGCAGAACAGGCACTACAGCCAAGTGCTGGGAGCATCCCAGAGCCACACCCCTGTAGGAGATAACACCTGTATTTCACTTGTTTGTCAGATATTTTTAGTCCTTTGTCCATTGTCTGAAAAGAATGGAATTTTGGAAACATTTTCTTACACTTTCAGCACTTCTAGGCCTCACTGCCTGCAGTTTCACCATCCTCTGGTCCTTCCCAAAGGTCCTGGGTTCCTCCAAACAGACTGACCCTGACGGCCAAAGTTTTCTTTCGTTTTGTATCCTCTTCTTTTCTGATACTATGGGCTCTGGTAGAAACTAAGGAAAACAGTCAAGAGTCCAAGCACGCTGAGATCACTTTAAGAAATCAAAGGACACAAGGCACCTGCCTCAGGGAGCCCGTCCCCTTGGCCCAACCCCTCTCAAGAAACGCCCTGCCCTGTCCGCCAGTGCCCTCAGGGACTCCGGGACTGGAAGGAAATGGCTGAAACCTGGAGCTGAAAGGGCGTGGTTCCTCCCATCTCTGCCCCAGGGGACGGCTTGGCCCTCCCCACAGCCTGCTAAGGTAGAAGAGAGACTGGGCTTGGGTCGGAGGAGAGAAGTCTAGGGAAGAACAAGGGAGGGGACACTGAGAGGAGGTGCGGAGGCTGAGGGCCCACCTGGCTGGGATACCCAGCTAGAGGTGAGGAGGTGGGGACCGACAAGGGCGGGGACACTGCAGGATGGGGGGCGGGGACACCTGGCGGAGGCGGCTAGGACCTGGGACTGGGTGGCGGGTGGTGGCTGGCAGGTGGGAGGAGCCAGCGGGCGGGGACTGGGGTGATTCACCTGCCCAAACGAACTCAGACTCGCCCCAATTCCGGACCTGAGCGGCCCGACCCTGCGGCGCCACTCCCCACCCCGAGCGGACTTCGGAACTGGCCTGGGACCCACGGGCGCCGAAACCCGGGAGGACGCGAGCCCGGCGGGTCTGTGCCCTGCGAGGATGCGCGCTCTGCCTGCCCAAGACGCGTCTGCCGGCGAGCAGCCGCCTCCCCCGGACTCCGAGGCCTTGCGGGATCCACACGCGGTGCGGCCGGCGCGCAGGAGCGCGGTGGAGAGGCTCGCTGCGGACCGCGCCAAGTACGTTCGAGGCCTGCCGGGGGCCCATCTGGACCCCGCTTCTGAAGGCCGCAGCCCTGGGACGCCCGCGGGGCAGCGCTGTGACCCGGCTGCTGCGGCCCGCGTCCCCGCGCCGGTGGCGCGCAGGGTGATCGCGCGGAAGTCTCTGAGGCCTGACTCACTGGTCATCTACCGGCAGAAATGCGAGTTCGTCCGAGGGCCGGGTACCGACGGCCCCAGGGGAGGCCTGGTGAAGAAACTTTTCCAGGGACCGAGCAAAGACAAGGCGCGGGAGTCCTTCCAAACGCCCGGGGCGAGGGAGGAGAGTCCTGCCGGCGGCAGGGAGGCCGCACCCGCAGAGCCTTTCCTGGTGGCTGCAACTGCGGCCCCTACGGCCCCAGTCGGTGCAGCGGGCCCAGAGCCCGGGGACCCCGCCCTGCCTTCAGCAGCGACCCCGGGGGGCCAGGCTTCGTGCGCCGGTAAGGAGCTGCTGGTGGCCAGACATCGGGGGCTTCAGCGCTCGCAGTCAGACCTCAGCTCCCGCTACTCCCTGGCCAAGGCCGAGTTTGACACCTTCTTCCTGTACTGCGGCCTGGATCCCGAGGTGGTAGAGGCTCTTGGGAAGGACAACTTCTCCGCAGGGTCCGACTGTGTTGCCCTCAAGGTGCGTAGCGTAAGTGTGGCCACTTCCGACAGTGGCTTCTCTCGGCACAGCGACGAGGTCAACGATGGGCTGCAGGAAGAGGAGCTCGTAGAGCAGGTGCCCAGCACTACCTCCGTGGTGGAGAGGAATGCCCGCATCATTAAGTGGCTGTACACCTGCAAGAAGGCCAAGGAGCCCCCCAGCCAGGGGCCTGCTTGAAGGCCTGCGTCCAAGGACACCAGGACCTCAGGTGCGAGCCCAAAAAGCTTGGGGGACAGTGGCGGGAGTCTGTGTTCAGGTTGCTGAGTATGACTAAACTGAATGCTATCCAGTTATAACTTTCACTTAAAATAAAGCCCCTATGTTGGTAAAGGCCCTAAGAAATGGAAAGGCTCCTGGTGGAATCACTGCAGCCAGACCAAAGGGACCAGATGCAGGTGCTGGCAGACCAGGACTGAATTTGATTGCCTAGAAAGGTCACAGTGAGTTAAAAGAGAGGAAATCAGAAATATAAAAAATCTTGGGAGCACTTTTACTCCCCTGAATCATCATCCCCTGCTTTGAAAGTAGCCTCAGAGCCCTAGTATGTATGTGCACTGGGACAAACTTGCTGTGGAGCTACTTTAAGTCCTGTGCACCTGCAGCCCAGGTAGGTGCTGCTGTCTCACCTTCCATGCCCCTTCCTGAAGGCCTTTACTTTGGTAAGAACTCTCCAAGGGATCTCTGCAGCAGTTTGTCATTGGTTTAGCAAGAAAGATCCTTACTTGGTAAAATTTTATTTCAATTTTTTTGAGGGCTTCTGTTTTTTGAACTGGAGGAATTGGACTAGATTGCATCAGAGTTTAAACTGCTATGATTCTAGTAAGTAGTATTCACATTCCAAACTGTCTTGATTCTGTAATTTATTTGCCTCTGATGATAAAACAGAATAAATTTATTTCCTTTGAATACCAGTAGTATAGGTCTAACCTTCAGTTCTTCAGCCGGAGGGGCTGACATGTGTTGATTCTCCCTCGCCTTCTCAGTTCCTGTGCCATTTGGGGAATAGCAAAGAGAAAGCCATTTTCAGAGTTTTCTTGGAGAACTAAGGATTTAGACACAGTAACATCTTTTTTTTTTTTCTGTCACCCTTCAATAACAAACAGCTTGCTATAAATTCTTTTTAAAAAATCATTATTTTGTCTGCCACTGTGATACTAATTGAAAGCACAACAATGGCCTGTGGAATTGTGGAGGGCTGCCACAGAAATGCTTGCACTCAGCTCTCCTGTATTGAAGACAGGGAAAAACCCAAGAACTTCTCCAAGTGGCCTTAGTACAGAGGTGAATCATTGTTTTGTTGAACATGGAGGACATTTTACTCTAAACTCAATCCCCAAAGAATGTAAATAGGCAAGCAAACTTAAAGAAGTAACTTGTACTTTCCATGAGTTGTTTGGATCTGAAGTGAATGGATGCTGACCGGGACATGCCATGGTGATGCTGTGAGCATCCAGAGCAGGTGCTGTCCTGGGGCATGTGACCTGGCAATGAGTGTCCTCAGGGCTTGCCTCTGTGGCCGTGTGCCTCCTGTGTTTGTAGTCCAGGCCTTCTTGGTCTGTGAAATAAAGGGAGCAGGCAGGTGGTGTCCAGTCTTAGCATTTCATTTCTGCAAATCAATAATTTGTGTATCTGTGTTTTGAGATCAAACCCTGAAAAAGGAAAGCAAGCAAGTACTGCTTAATTGACAGTTGAGGAAGCAATTGTGAAGGAGTTCTCCCGTCGGCTGCAGGTGGAAGGGGGCTATTTGTGCTGAGGTGACAAGAGGACAATGTGAAAACAGAAGCCCCTTGATCCTCCAGACCCACATCCATCACTGAAGAGAACTTGGATTTAATATGCAAAATAACCTTCCCAAGCCTTTTTAGGCTTGAATATATGAAAAATATAAGAAGTTTACTTGAGCTGTGAGAACATGCCCCTGTGCTAAGGGCAGATCACTGAAGCAACTGGAAGAGTGGGGCTGGTGTGGGAAAGCACCCAGGGAGGGTGGATGTAGGACAGAGGTTCACGCTTCCATTACCCACCCTGTTTCTTTCTCCAGCTTGGTCCTGTTTATTCGAAGGAGGAACAAGTCACTTGCTTTCTGAGCTGGTGTTGCGCAAGCAGGGCTGAGGTGTGTTGATTGCCTGTAGCATTTGGGAAATAGTGAAGAGAAGTTATCCTGGCTTCTGCCTAGCACTGGCCATCTCCAGCTCAACACTTAACTCACAGATTTGCTCCCCCAGAAGCACAGGCAGGCTGTGCTCCTGGAAAGTACAGTGCTGCCCCGAGGGCTGTGGGCAGAGTGAGCCTTCTCCAGCTCACCAGGTGGCTGACTGCTCAGCACCACAGCCCCCTTCATGCTGCCACCAGGCTTGTTTCCTCTGAGAAGCAGTGTCCAGGGGGCCAAGGCGCCTGAGGCCCATAGCTGGGCTGTGCACAGGGGCTTTGAGGTGGCCCCTACTTTCTCCACACAAGTGACCCCTCTGGAAGAGTTCCCTGAGCTCTACAAGATGTGTAGCCAGGAGCTGGGCTCTGCCTTTCCTGTAGTTTGCCAGAACACTTGTGCTGCAATTCTCAAAAGACTCATGTTGGGATTTCATGAACAATTTAGAATAATTGAGATGAAAGGTAGGCTTTATAAGTAAATGATTTAAATGTATCTTACACAGAGGTTTCCCCCTTGGCAAACAGAGCTTTATGAATTTTAATAAATATATTCCATCCAGAACAAAAAATTTATACATTCTTGTCACATGGGTAAAAATGTTTGCATGTGAGATTTAAAAATATCAGAACTGGAACATGGCTCATAGAGTCTACATTCTGACCACTGAGGACTATCGAGTAATGGACCATTATACTTGGACACAGGGGCAGTCCTGGTACTCTCAGAGTTTCTGTGTCTCTGAGTACAGTTAATAAGAATTACTCTTTGATTCCCTGGCTCTTAGTTCTTAAACTCATCAAATTGATTACTTCCAAAATTTAGATCTTTCTGATTCTCATCTTTTGCATAAAAAAATATAACTTACTGGTTATGTTAGAAACTTATAGAATAGGAACTTGCCCTTTGGGATAATTACAGATAAACATTGTTTAATATCAAGACAAAAACTTTCAGACCTACAGACCCCTCCACATTTCTCTTTGATAAAGAAGGATAACCCATAGAAGCCCACTGAGAACCTATGGGAAGAATTAGATCTTTCACTGGAAAGATACAGTGGCACCCAACAAATGGACAGGGGCACCCTGTCTCTGCTTCTTCCTTTGCTCCTCTAGGAAGCCCTACAGGAGCACAGTGTGGGTGAAAGTGGCTGAGGGCTATAAGGCCATCTTTCTTGTCTCCTGGACAGCACCTTAGAGATGCTGCTCCTTGAAAAGCATGGAGCTGTTTGCCTTGGAACATGAAAGGGGTCTCCTGCCTTGATCTCTGTTTTGTCCCCCAGGCCTGAGCTTAGGTTAATGTCAGCATTTAGACAGTTGTCTTCACTGTACTAGGAGTAGTAGGAGGCACAGAGGACTTTTAGATGTCCAGAAAAAGGCCTGCAGGAACATGGAGATTTGTTCTGACAGAGAACCCAGATGACAGAGGTCTTATCAACTTATTTTCAGCTTTAAAACACAAAAAGGAGATGCTTTGAAATGAAGAGATATCACAAACCCAAGACAGCAGGGCCAGGCTTTGCAGTAAACATTCTTCAGCAGACAGGAGCTAATCATGTTTGTTCTTTTTTTTTACTACTCAGGAAACAGATCTTCCTGGTGACAAAAGGACCCCTTGATGTTCTGGATGATTTGAAACCCCAGGCCATTTGTGCAGTGTGCCTCAAGGACACATGACTACTGCTTTTCTGGGAATGGAATATCCTGCTGACAAAGCTTGCTGATTGCAGAAGGGTTGGCGTGCTGAGGAGGAGGTAGAAAGGTGATGGGAGATTTGTCCAGGGTATCGTTTTTTACTGACTTGGTGACAAAGAGATACTACATGCATTTTTACAATATTTAATTTCTTTTTAAACAAAAAGGAGAAAAGCATGAAATTCAAGCATGAGTGGCATGTTACTTATTTCTTTTGACTGGTTGGTCCAGGTAAAGTTCTGTAACCACCAAGAAGCTTTCTGGTTCAATGCTGTGGCTAACAGCAGACACACTTGGTCTTCAAAGCTTCCCTCTGAACTACAAAGCACCACTCACTACCAACTGACTGATCGTCTTCTTCCATGAGTGAGGAAGCACATTTAGAATCCCTCCAGGACAATAGGGTCAATACCACTCCCTACTGCTAGGTAGTAGCCATGTGGAAAGATGCAGAAGAAGATATACAGAGGCAAAGGTCTTGCTTAGTTGTCCCTGGACAGTTTCCTGAGAGTTGGTGAAGATTCTTTTGGTCCTCTTGTCGGGTCTGAAGTGGCATTCCCAAGAAGAATGCAGGAAGTGCCCCCATTCTCATCTGCAGGGGAGAGACATCTGGCCCACACGCACATGACCCCATGGAATAGGAGCTCTTCATGGCCCAGGGCCTGGTCTAATGCACACTCCACACACCATGGACTCACCTGGATTTGGCATTGTTCCCTCTGCAGAAAGCATGTTTTGCAGGCAGGGATGGGATCTGATATTGGGGAGACTCTGGGATCTGCATGTACATGGGAGCTGCTGGGGCCCTGACTTAACGTGCTCAGGGAAAAGGGGTCACAGATTCAGAACCTTTCAAGGGAATCTTCTGTCCATGAGAACCAGAAGAAAATTTGTCAACTCTTTGAAAGCTTATCACATTTTATCAAAATATATCTCTTCAAAAACAAAACTATTCAAGAAAAGATTGTGACTGACAGCCGAGGTCACACTCGCCTTTCATAAAATGGATGAAAAATATGAAACCAATTGGTTTCCACTTGAAGCCCCCAACATCTTCCAGAATCATCTTTGCTTTCAGTGGTGGCATGGGAAAGAGAGGAGTTCACTTGAAGTGAATCCTGGAAGCAGATACCAGAGGGGAAGCCTGGGGAGTGGATAGCAGGTGGTGTTAGTGCAGAGGAAGCAACCTGGCTGCCTTACCCCTCCAGATGCATTCCTCAGCTGCATGTGCGGGTGTGTGGCTGCAGGGAGACACTCTGTCCTAGCCCTGAATTGCCCCAATTGCTGAGCACCTGAGAGTCCAGCTACTGCTCCATCTACTTACATTTCACAAGGCTGAGCCACAGGGACTGCCGCAAGAGGCTTTCATTTGTCCATGAAAGAATGTGCATGCATATAATGGGATAAAAAGTCAGAAGGGAGACAGTGACGGTAGAGCAAGGAAGGTAACTCAACCTCTTCCTCTGTGGTTGCAGACTAGCACTGCCCCAGGTGTGCACGCACTGTTCAGCTCCCTCATTCTACATGCAAGCAGTCACAGCAGGCCATTGGACTCTGCCACGCCCGTGGTTCATGGTTCATACTTGCTGCCCATGGTGCCCTAAAACATCATGCCACAGAGTTGCTGGAGATATTTCTAGTAGGTCTTTTCTGCACACACTTGCAACCAGAGTGCAATATTTTATACTCTGTATTAAAGAAATAAAGTATGTTTTGCATCTCCATCTGTGAGCAAGGTCAAACTTTCCTGAAGGGAGAATGTGCTCATTGTAATCCACAATCCCTCCAGTCTGTGTTTCTGCCTTTCTTCTGGAATGTTGCCTCCTGGGCTACCAGCAGCAGTAGAGGAAGCACCCGTCTTGGCTTAGGTGGCCCTTGGGCCTCCCGAGATGAGCTGCAGTGAAAGCCACATGAATATTTAGCACTTTGTCTTGTACTGTTTTATCAGTCTTTTGCTTTAAAAAGATTTTATGTCTTACTAATATTACCACTGGAAATCTGGCATAAAAATGAAGGCAATTTTTACCGTTCTCTTGAGCTCTCCCAGGGAGGGCAAGCCCTGCTGTCTTGGGCTTTGTGTGGATTGGCTGATAGGCAGGTAAGGGAGCCTGTCTGCTCCTGCTGCACTGCCCAAGCCAGATGGGTTTCTTTCCAGCCTTGCAACAGCTATGTCTAATCTATGCCAGCACCCACAGATGGGCCTTCTTAAAGAGAGTAGTGCCTCAACTCCGTGTTTTCTTGAAGAACTCCACCACCCCCATGGCCACCTAATAGCAGTGGTCATACTTTTCAGTTACCTCTTGAAATTTCAAGAAGCAATAGAGTTACACACAGTGGCTAGCTGTTTGAACATTTTGTGTTCACTGATGAATTAGATACATTTACATAATCTTTCCATGTTCCAGATTGAATATCAAACAAGTGGGAAATTGAATGTCTCAGCCTGCAGCTTGTAGGCTTGGCCTTGGGAGTAGCAGGGAGCAGCTGTTGGGGCCAAGTCACAGAAGCACCAGCAAGTGTGCCGCCTCCCTCATCACCTCTGTATCTGTGCCTCAGACTCTGAGTCACTGATATCATTGGGTTATCTCCTTCAAAATAGTCACTAACATTGGAATGCTCTCTTAAGAGGAAGCTACATTAAGCCATTAATGATTCACCTTTGAGTGAAAATAGAATATTAATTTCTTTAGAAATTGAGAATCAACTAGAGGCTCAGACACAGAGAAAACTGGGTTCTGGCTTCAGTAGACCCTGTGAGGTGTTCAATTTGAGCTTAAGTAGGACTTTTAATTACATAAGTGCCAGAACAGGAAATTATAAAATTAATTAAACCCAAATCCTTGCTGTTTACCTTGTGGTATCAAAACAATGGTACACCTGGGCAACAGTGACTTTAGTCGGGAACGTCACTGAGGGCAATGGAGAATTCCCTACATGCATGTGTCAAGGAGCCCGACACTGCACTAGGTATGAGGGTTTCACACAGCTCCCTGCCATCGTGGGGCTTCAGTTCCAGGGGGACCAGGTGTCCAATAAGGAAAGAGATGATGATGGATGGATGGATAAATGAATAATGTTAGATGATGACAGATGGATTGATGATAGATAATGATGTATGGATGATGTCTGATGATGGATGGATGATAGGTTATAAAGGAAGAAAAGATAGTGTTTTTGTGTGTGTGTTATATGTTGTGTGTGTGTTATATGTTTTTTGTTGTGTGTGTGTTCTATGTGTGTTATATGTTGTGTGTGTGTGTATCAGATATGATTGATTGGTGTTGGGTGGATGATAGATGATAATGGATATTGATAGATGATAATAGATGGGTGGATGTTGATGATGGAAGGAAGACAAATGAAGGGAGGCTGGCAGAGAAGGAAGGGAATAAAGTAGAGTTAGTGAAGCAGCAAGTTGTGCTATGAACCTGATTATGAGTTTATTTTGCCCTTCTGCTTCATGGTTTCTATTTGGTGGCCAATCTACCTGAATCATAAACAGGACTTAAAGTCTACATCATATAAAATAAACCAAGCAACAGCGAAAGAGAACAGGCAGATGTTTAAATGGCTTTGTTTTTTCTCTGAGAGGTTTATATCAATCTTGAGCTTTGAAGTTTGAACAGAAGAGAAAGCAGAACACACTGGCCTCAGTACAGCCAGCTTCTTGCTCAGAAGGTTGTTGGAAGGCACTGACAGCTGCCTTTGGGTTTTGAAGGGAGTCTACTTTTCAACTTAGGGAAAGAAGTAAGAGTCAATGTGATTCACAGCCTGTGAGGTCTTTCCTTATCTTCTGAGCATAGCCTCTCAGACACACATGGAGGTAAACAGCAGGTGCAGGCTGGGGCTCACCAGGGCAATGCTGTCAGGATTCAGGGGTCCTGAATATTTTCTCCTTAGCATACTTGGCAAGTCAAGACTGCAGCATCACAGAGCATAGGGAATGTGTCCAGGGTTCCCCTGAATTCACACCAGCCCCTGGAAAGACTGCATGAGGTACCAAGAGAGAACCCAGGTGGGCATCTGGTTAACTGGCAGAGACCCACTTGACCAGGACTGCAGAGGATCATTTTAGCCCGAGACCTGCACTGGCTTCATGAAAGAAGGTTCGAGTCGTGAGAAACCGCTAGGGAGTTTTAAATTAAAGAGACAAGACTCCAATTACCTTTAAACCAGCTCCAGGATGGCTCCTCCTAGCTCCAGCCTCAAGCCACCTATTGTAGTAGTGAGGTTTACTGAAGAGGCTAGTGAGAGAGAGAAAACACACCAGGGAGTGGATTTTATTGGGGAACAAAAATTCCGGGGAAAATCCTATCCAATGAAGGTTAACGGGGGGCAGCATCCCAAGGTCAGGGGCAACAATTGGGTCTTCGGGGTAGTGGCCAGATACGCCTCTGCACGGACAAGCCCTCGGACCCGGAGAAGGGTGGGGAAAACTCTGACACAGCTGTGCCTAAGTGCCTCTCGCCCAGCCAGGGAGGTAACTCAAATCACATGTGAGGATGGCCTCCCACAGGTCATAACTAGAAATGCCAGAGTTCAGCCCTCTCCTCTCCTAGGAGGAATTCGAGGCTCAATGCACACACAGCTGCCCAGCTCATGGTGGCCCAGAAGAAAGGCAAATACTCCCCACTGCCCTGCTCCTCCTGGAGCACTGTTACAGGGAGCATGGCATGAGTAGGGCCACCAATGGCCCATGTGCAGGAATCTTCAAGTTTTTGCACCAAGTCCTGGGAAATTTCTCAGGCTCTGATAAATGGGGTTGCTGTGTGTCCTGAGAGGGAGTCTCCATTAACACATCCTGATGACAAATTCCTGCCCTCATTTTATTCCACCTTGAGGAGACTGTATCGGAGACACTGGAGTCACCTGTCACTGTTAGTTCACTCTGGCCCTGAATTTGGGCAGCTTAGGGTGCTTCCTCCCTGACGGAGGTAACCCTGAAGTTAGGATCCAGGTGTTGGAAGTTTCTGGACATGAGGGACTGGTGACATGGAGTCATTTGTGGGCTGAATTGAGGCATCTGTTTTAATCTTGTGCTGGGTTTTGCTACAGCTATGTGTCCAAAACCCCTGCATATTTCTTTGTGAGTCACCACTAATCACTGTGTAACAAAGCTCCTCTTGCACATAGGAGTTCTATACAGGGTGTATGCATGTGTGCATGCCTGTGCTCACATGCAGGTGTGTTCCTGTGTGCACTCACGTGTGTGTTCTGTCCTGTTTTGGCATGCTAGCTCCTGACTGCTTTGGCTAGGATTCCAGTGATTCATGCACACCTACAAATAACTTTCTACTCTTAGCTGCAGGAAGACCAGTGCCTGATTTTTAGGTCTAGATGGTCCCTGGCAGCTCAGAACATACTTGTGAGGGCTTGGATGGGTCTTGTGAGAAAGGCAGTGGCCTGTAGCCCTGGCTGGTTTCAGGGACGCAGCATAGTGAGGCTGACATTCACAAGGTGAAGAGCTGCAGCACTTAGTCCTCTGTACACTGACAACTCCAATTCTAGGGTACTTATCTGATTTTTTAAATATATATATTTTTAGATGTTGATGGACTTTCATTTTATTCATTCATATATATATATATATACACACTATTCATTCATTTATATATTGAACCCAGTACCCCACACATGTCCCGCAAGCACTCCACCACTGAGCCACAACTCCAACCCTTATCTGATTTTTTGTATGTTTTGTTTTTATGGTTCCATTAGCTCACTTTTTAATATTCAGATTTTCTAAATATAAATGTAAAGTATATAATGTTATATGAGAGCTTGCATCTAATACTTCACTCTCAGGCAGAAAGTTCATTCCTACTCTAAGAAATCATGATTCTAATCAGAAAGCCTTTTTTTTCTGTTTAGAGTAAGTTACAAAACAAGAATAAAGACAATGAATACCATTGTTATTAGTAAGTCACAGGCTTCAAAGCACCTTCCACTGCCTGGAGGCAATGAATTGCTTGAGTCTCTGCACGTGGTAAGATAAGAGTCTCACCTGACAGACCATAGGCAGAAGCAGGGAAAGAATCGCAGGCTTCCATGTGCTCATAGGAGTCAGGCCGTACACCTCCAGGGCAGTGGGAACACAGTAGTACTTATGCTTAGGAAAGGTAAGCAGTGTACACCGTGGTGTCCTGCCCTGGGTGCCCTCTGGTACACATCTGTTAGTTCGGATAAGAGAGGCTGGCTACACCTCTGCTATAAACATAAACACAGATGCTAGAGAACACTACAGAGGAGATAGGAGGCATCATGTGGTTTCATGTGAAATTACCAGAGAGCTAATTCCAGAGTTAGTCTGTGGCACCCTCCAAGGGGTCTCCCTTGCCTCTGCAGGATGACACTTGATAAAAACACCTTCCTTGTAAATTGTTGGTGTTGAGAGACACAACTTGCACTTGCTTTTGCAAATGGATGTTGTGAGGTAATGGTGATCTCAAACCAAGAGATCTGGGAATTCAAAGGAGGGTACCTTTCAGGTAGGAGCAGCTTTAAAAATCTCTGTATTAAAAAATTAGGTGCTGGTTGTCGGTATATGTTTTTCTCCTCAAGGTCCACTTGGTACAACTCCAGAAGTCACAGAGAGTCTGTAAAATGTTGGAAAGCTTTCAAGATTACTAATTCGCAGATGAGCAAACTGAGGCCTTGTGAGGGCCATGACCTTTACAGTTACTGGCCAATAAGAGGCAGAAACTCCCACCCACGCTTGCTGGCC